ATCCCCTAAACCCTATGAACCCTAAACCCTTTGTAACCCCAAAACCCTTTGTGAAGCCTTTAACTTCTGGGCCCCCGGACTTGCAGCGTCTGTCCAGGGCTCGCCTCCGAGGTTGCACGGGAGACCACGCGAAGAGGGTTTCGGGCTTAGGCTGCCTTATCGTTGTTGCTTGTGGTATGTTTACACACATAAATAAATGAATATGTATATATATATATATATATACTCGCCCCCCCCCCCCCCCCATGATCCACACATTTGGCCTCGGGAAGGGGGTTTTGGGAGGGGGGGGGAACTCCAGACTCCAGATTTCCAGAAAAAATCTGGAGTACCCGGGCCCCGGACTCCAGATTTCCAGAAAAAATCTGGAGTACCCCCAGACTCCAGACTCCAGATTTCCGTACCCCCAGACTCCAGACTCCAGATTTCCAGAAAAAATCCGGAGTACCTCCAGACTCCAGACTCCAGATTTCCAAAAAAACTCTGGAGTACCGGGACTCTGGACTCCAGATTCTGGAGTCTGTAATCTGGAGTCTGGGGCCGCGAGTACTCCAGATTTTTCTGGAAATCTGGAGTCTGGAGTCCGGGGCCCAGGTACTCCAGATTTTTTCTGGAAATCTGGAGTCTGGAGTCCGGGGCCCGGGTACTCCAGATTTTTTCTGGACATCTGGAGTCTGGAGTCCGGGGCCCGGGTACTCCAGATTTTTTCTGGAAATCTGGAGTCTGGAGTCCGGGGCCCGGGTACTCCAGATTTTTTCTGGAAATCTGGAGTCTGGAGTCCGGGCCCGGGTACTCCAGATTTTGTCTGGAAATCTGGAGTCTGGAGTCCGGGGCCCGGGTACTCCAGATTTTTTTTGGAAATCTAGTGTTTAGGGTTTAGTGTGTAGGTTTCAGGGTTTAGTGTTTTGTGTTTAGGGTTGAGTGTTAAGTTTAGGTTTTAGCGTTTAGGGTCAAGCGGCTCGGGCTAAAACCCAAATAAAACCCTAAACTCTGAAATCCCAACAGTAAGCATCTGAAACCCCGACGGGTTTGTGGTTTCAGGTTTAGATTTAGTAGGGCTCGAGGTTCTGGCCTTGGGGTTTACTGTTTAGGGTTTAGGGTTTAGTGTCTAATGTTTAGGGTTTAGTTTGAAGTGTTTAAGGTTTAGTTTTTGGGTTAAGTGCTTAAGTGTTTAGGGTTTCGTGCTATGTGTTTGGGGTTTGTGCTAAGGGCTTAGAGTTAAGTTTTTAGGGTTAGTGTTTAGGGTTTAGTGTTGAGGGTTTCGGGTTTGGGTTTTAGGTTAAGGGTTTTAAGGATTTTTACAAATTTAAATGATCTGGGGAAGGCACCGGGGCTGCCCCAGACCATTGACAACTTAAAAAATCCTTCTGTTTAGGCTTTAGGGTTTAGTGTGTAGGGTTTAGTGTGTAATGGTTAGGGTTTAGTTTGTAGGGTGTAGTGTTTAGTGTTTAGGGTTTAGTGTTTAGTAAGGGTTTAGTGCTTAAGTGTTTAGGGTTTCGTGTTCAGTGTTTGGGGTTCGTGCTAAGGGCGTAGTGTTAAGCTTTTAGGGTTAGTGTTTACGCTGGTGTTTAGGGTTCAGTGCTAAGGGTTTCGGCTTTTTTTTGGGTTAAGGGTTTAGTGTGTAGGGTTTAGTGTGTACTGTTTAGGGTTTAGTTTTTAGGGGTGCTTTGGTGTTTAGGGTTTCCTGTTAAGTGTTTGGGGTTTGTGCTAAGGGCTTAGTGTTAAGTTTTTAGGGTTAGTGTTTAGGGTCTGGTGCTGAGTGAGTGCTTAAGTGTTTAGGGTTTCGTGTCAAGTGTTTGGGGTTTGTGGGCCTAGTGTTAAGTTTTTAGGGTTAGTGTTTAGGGTCTAGTGCTGAGTGTTTGGGGTTTAGTGTTAAGGGTTTCGGGTTTGGTTTTTTGGATTTAGGGTTTTAAGGATGTTTACTAGTGTTCAGGGTGTAGTGTGTAGGGTTTAGTGTGTAATGTTCAGGGTTTAGTTTGTTGGGTGTAGTGTTTGAGTGTTTAGGGTTTCGTGTTTAGGGTCTAGTGCTTAAGTGTTTAGGGTTTCATGTTAAGTGCTTGGGGTTTGTGCTAAGGGCTTAGTGTTAAGTTTTTGGGTTAGTGTTTAGGGTCTGGTGCTGAGTGTTTAGGGTTTAGAGCTAAGGGTTTCGGGGATGGATTTTAGGGTTAAGGGGTTTGAGGGTTTTTGCAAGTTTACATGATCTGGGGAAGGCACTGGGGCTTCCCCAGATCCACCTAAACATTACAAATCCTTAAAATCTTATAAAAATCTTTAAGCTTCTGTTTAAGCATTCTCAGGATTATGAAGGTTTTAAGCAGTTTAAGCCTTTTAAAGACCTTAAATTGCTTACGTATTTAGATGGCTGCCCTTTGCGGATTTTAGAGATTGTTGAAGTTGCCAATGGTCTGGAGAAGCCCCGGTGCCTTCCCCAGACGATAGAAAATTTTTAAAATATGTAAAACCCTGAAATTCTTACAGTTGTAAATGGCTGTCCTTTTAAAGTTTAAAGATTTTAGGATGTTCAATTCTAAAATCCGTAACTTCCTTAATTTTAAACGGCTGCCCGTTTTAAATTTTAAAGAATTTTAGACTTTTAAGGGATAAACGTTTCGAGGTTGTTAAGGGCTTTAAAGCCTTTTAAGATCCTTTTAAAGCCCTATTGCAAATGGTCTGGGGAAGCCCCGGTGCCTTCCACAGATCATCTAAATTTTTACAAACCCCTAAAACCTAAAACCCTTAAAAGCCTTAAGCTTCTAAATGGCTACCCTTCTAAAATTTTATAGAGCCGCAAAACAAGTTTCAGAAGCAAAATGCACATAAAAACACTAGCGTTTTTATAGAGGATAATATAATAGAGCTTTTTGTATTCCAGTGCAGTTTTTACTGCATTTTTCCGGTGAAAAACCAGAAAATCAGACAAAGACGAAGACAGGAAAACCATGGGTGTGGATCATGGGGGGGGGGGGCTGACCATATATATATATATATATATATATATATATATATGTGTGTGTGTGTGTGTGTGTGTGTGCGTGCAAGTGTATGCTAGTAGATACCACAATGGGAATGCACCCGTACTATATGTGCGATTATCGCTGCTATTCGGAATATCTATATATATATATATATGTATGTATGCATGCATGCATGTATACGCATACATACATACATACATACATACATACATACGTACATGCATGCATACACATAAATACATAAATATAGGGCATGGCGGAGGGCTCAACCTACGCAAAACCCCCAAACCCCAAGATCCTAGCCTACAATTCTATCTCGGACATCAGTCCGTTTGGTTTTGGGGCTTAGGGTTTAGTTAGGGTCTAATGGCTTAGGGTTTAAGGTCTAGGGTTTAAGGTTTAGGGGTTTAGGGTTTAGGGGTTCAGGGTTTAGGGGGTAGGGCTCTCCTTGCCGCCGAAGCCACACCCTGGGGTACCGTCACTGCGAACTGCGCCGTGGAGCCTGGCACGACCTAAGGTGTCGCTGAGCCGGAAGCCCCAAAAATTCCGGAAGCCTAAACCCAAAACCCTAACCCCAAACCCTAAACCCCAGACCCTAAACTCTAAACCCTAAAAGGGTTTAGGAAACATATACCCTAATATGAGATTCTAGCAGTATAGGGTCATATGGGCCCCAGGGTACACTCTACCTCCGTGAGCTCTCGAAGTGGTGCTCAGCAACCCACCGCCGCATTCGCCAGCGGAACCTTGATGGCAGCTGTTTGGGGTGGAGGGTTTAGGGTTATTTAGGGTTTAGGGTTCAGGGTTTGGGGTTTCGGGGGCTGGCTCCACGATCAGAGCTTTGTGGTTTAGAGTGTTGGTAGGCGACCGTGCTTTTGAACTCTGCATCATGCTTCAAGTTACTCCCTACCAGCTGAGGCCCTCGACATCTGACAAACGACCATAACGCGCATTGCAACAGCATTTCACGTCTCGGGCTGCATCGCTGCCGAGATGCGTTCATGGCTCGAGACTTCCCGGAAAGTCTTCTCCGGCTGTGTCGCAACTCAAATCATAGTTTCGGAGCCGAAGCTGCAGCGAATTCGGGGCACAAGCATGAAGTGGGGCTCGGAGTTGCGAGTTTGCTTCGTGGGTTGCTCTTGACAGCAAAGCCCTTTCCTACATGGCCTGTACCGGCGCAATCGTCTCGATGTCTTTTTAAACCAGCATTGGCACACGAACCAGCGCCTGAGTCTCTGCTGCTGCAGAGCGATTCTTGCCAGAGGTCAGACAGAGGAGTTAGGTGGTGGACACTACCCTCGGAACGCGCAAAAGACACACATTTGGGGGTTTACGAAAATAGGGGACCCTTAAAATAGACATCCAATTAGAAGGGTGCGTTCCCTTATAATAAGGAACCCAAAAATTAGGTAACCCAGTTTCGGAAACCTCAATTTAACCTCTGTGCGGAACCGGCCCCAGCAACAAAGCAAGGCGCCGGTGCTAGAGGGACGCTTTGGAACGTGGGGCAGCTCCCAATCGCCTCTCCGACTGTGGCCGACAGCGACTCGGAACTGGCTGCTTAAGAAAGGGGCCTTAATAATTTAGAACAGGGTTTTGGGGGGTTATTATAGTCGATTTATATAGGGACCATAAGGGAGTACGACTAGTAGTTATTCCGACCCCTATAGTACGTTGCTACTACTTGTTGCTCGGAGCGTTGCCGAATGCAACTGCAGACAGACATCGCCTCGCAGCCTAAGTGCGACAGGCGAAGCTAAGCATAATGCCTGCCATGAATTCACTCGGGGGGAAAAGGGACCTCTTTAACCCTTACCATGTAGTACATCGGTGCTTGCCTGGGAAGCCAACCGCAAACCCTAAACCCTGAACCCTGAACCCTGAACCCTAAACCCTAAACCCTAAACCCTAAACCCTAAACCCTAAACCCTAAACCCTAAACCCTAAACCCTAAACCCTAAACCCTAAACCCTAAACCCTAAACCCTAAACCCTAACCCCACCCATCTCTGGCTTCAATGCCTGCTCAGCGCGTGATGGCTGGAACGGTCGTGGATAGACGTCGCGCCTTTCCGTGGACCCCTCCCCCAAAAAGCCGAGGAATCCAACGGGTTTTGGGTTTAGGTCTTAGGGTTTAGTGTGACCTCGGACCCTACAAATGGAAAGAGGGTAGAACACTCGGGAACTGGTTCCTGAACCCTACCTCAGACCTACAGTAGAGCCCTGAACCCGAATTAAAATGAGCTCCCGTGAGCCGCAAAAGCCCTCGAAGCAACCCTAAACCCTAAACCCTAAACCCTAAACCCTAAACCCTAAACCCTAAACCCTAAACCCTAAACCCTAAACCCTAAACCCTAAACCCTTCCTGCAGAGGCGGGGGGGCTTCGGGCCAATGATACACTGATCCCCCTGAACTGGGGCCTGCTCCTGACAACACCTGAACCTCCTGTTTGCTTAAGAGCCCACCCAAAACAAAAACACACAAACAAATAAATAAATAAATACATAAATATATATATACAAATATATATATATATATATATATTCTTTCTTCCAAAAAAAAAATATATATATATATATATATATATCCATCCCTTTCAAGGGCAATATAGGTATTATCATTCCGCTTTTCTGGGGGGGTTTCTTCAGCAAATGCTTTGAACTTGTCCACTTTGCGAAGGGTATCTCGACTGTCCAGAAAATACAAGCGCTGCACAGGTGAAACCTGCCAAGCTCAACCAGTCGCTGCCGAAAGCCATCGAGACCTAAACTCCAACACCCCCAAATCCTCACCCAGGCTCGTAAAGCCGATGGCCCGGGTCATGATCCCAAACCCTAAACCCTAAACCCTAAACCCTAAACCCTAAACCCTAAACCCCCTCTACCCAAGTACCTCGCGACAGCACCCCCTGTTCCGAGTGCCCGCGCCGCCACGCGGAGCCCCGCTGCCACAGCTGGCATGGATGCTGTAGCCGGGATGCCTACAAGGTTTCGGGTTTAGGGTTTAGGGTTTAGGGATTAGGCTAGGGCGAAGCGTTTACGGGAGGAAAGTTCGGGTTCGAGAGGATGAAGTGGGGGTGAGTTGTGGGGACTCCTGTCTGAAACCTCGACCTTCTTCGTTGGTGCATGCGGGAGGGGGTCCTAAACCCTAAAAGGTTCCCTAAACCCTAAACCCTAAACCCCAAACCCCAAACCCCAAACCCCAAACCCCATACAAAGCTGCCCATGCCCCAGGTGTCTTTGGAAGCCTGCCATGCCAAGATTTTTCTCAGGCCCCCCCCCACCCCCGACCCCACTCGACCCAAGAGTAGCCCTAGGAATGAAAAGGGTGCCCTTTCTGGTTAAACCAACAAAAAAAGTGGGAAGAAGGGCCTACTCTGGGTCCTAGACAAGTACAACCCTGAATCCACAGAAAGAAATCGCAAGTCTAGAGTTGGTTTTTGACTTCGGGTGTAGGCACTAGCCCGTCAAACCCTAAACCCTAGGCCCTAGGCCCTAAACCCTAAACCCTGCCCGGACGGCCTTCTATCCGAGGCGTGGCCGAGATCATCCGGTGCCACGCTATGAACATCGCCTCGGAAGCCGGCGGGGCATTTCTGGGTTGGCCTTGAAGCCCTCTGAAAAAGATCTCTATATATAAATATAAATATAGATATAGATATATATATATAGGGTCCCTTATAAACCTAGATAAGGAAAATAACATGTCCCCAAAACCAACCTAGTTTTGTGGCGTAGCCGCAAGGGTTTGCCGGGTCAAGACAGACAGGGGAAGGCCGGGCAGGGTTGGTGTCCAAGGCTGTCAAGAGAGCAACAGCCAGGTTTCCACAACACTCCTACAAGTAAGTCCTCTAAGTCTCTGAACTCTCTGCGACCTACGTATGCCCCCCTAGCTAAACCTAATTAGATCTCTCAACCAGGGTTGACGTTTCAGGGGCGCAGGATGGGGGGCCTGAGGTTTCTCGGTGGAGAGTAGAAGGCTCTTTTGGGGCTCTTTCTTTTGGAGTAGATGGCTAGGCTGTGTGCGCAGTGTTGGATTTTCTTCATTCCTTTTCGGGCCCAAAGTCGCGCAATCGTGCAGTTACTGCTAAGACAGGACTGCCGGCCCAGGGCGCATGGGAACGCACAAGCCACCCCACCCAGCAAACTCAACGGCCCGTAAGCTCAAGGCCCATAGTGCGGTTCTGCCCATGCCTTGATGGGTTGGGGGTTCAGGGAAAAAGCCTTAAAACACAACAAACACCAGGGGGAGCCCGACATTGTGCCCATAGCCTGTAGGGTTTAGGGTTTAGGGTTTAGGGCTTCGGGTTTCGGGGAGCAGTTTCGTATCTGAGCTGCTTTGAGATGCAAGGCCCAGGCTCCAAAAAACCAATGGTCCTTACGTGATTCTCTGCCTCGCTTCTGCTCGCCAAGAACAGCTAACGAGCAGTTGAACCTTCGCTCTAAACCCTAAACCCTAGCCGAAAAAACCCTAGATCCCGAACCGTTAACACAAATTGAACCCCCAAACCCTGTGTCCCAAATCCCTGAAAGCTTAAATACCCGAAAAAGAGCTTTCTTCAGGCACTGAGGTAGTCAGCAAGAGCTGGCGGGTTTACAAGTTTTGAGCGTTTAAGAGGTTTGAAGGATTCAGGGTTTCGCGTAGTCACGGGTTTCGTTTAGCTTTTGCAAATCCCTCGTCAACGACGGGTTTCGTTTGTTTCCCGCCCTGAAAACTATTTTGCTATCCTCTTAGCTTGCGCTGTCCTTGTCTTGAAATCCCTGAGCCTTGACCCCCTAAACCCCAACCCGAAACCCTAAACCCCGAAATCATAAGGGCCCCAAACCCTTGACCCCAAACACTAGACCCAAGAGTAACCTACGAATTAAAAAGGTTTAAAGGTTTAGGGTTTAGGGTGACCAAAAGGGTAACTTACGAATACAAAGGGTACCCTTTTGGTTACAAAAAGGGAGTGAGGACCTGCGCTGCGTCCTAGAACACCTTGAACGAAAGGCTTTCGGAAATCTACTGAGAGCTTCAGGGCTTTTAAGCAGCTTTCGGGTTGAGGGTCGCAAGGTTTAACCCCTAAACCCTAAACCCTGAACCCTAAACCCTAAACCCTAAACCACCCCCCTACCAACCCTCAACCCTAAACCTTTCGGGCATCCTGCTCTCTCCGCCTGGCTTAGCCTGCCCTGATGAGCTCCTCGAGACTTCGCCACGAAGGGCTCGCAACCCGAAGTAAAGACTCCAAATAGTGAGGCGAGAGAAGCATATAACAATGCGAAGATGTAACAATCACACCAATACTAAGAATACGAAAAATAAGAAGAGTGCAACACAAAATAGAAGACAATGATCTATGGATGTTATTAATATGTCAGGCGGATCAAGCTGCGCCAGCTGCTGCCCCGGAGTGTGAGTAGCTGCGTTCGGAGCTCCCTGGTTCAGCTTTTCTTTTTGGTTTAGGGTTTAGGGTTTGGGGTTTAGGGTTTAGGGTTGACAGGGTTGAGCTTTTCGTGCGCAGGGCCCTACCCAAAACATGTCCTAAATGTCAAAACCTGATTTCTTATTTTGAATGCGGGGAAAAAGGGCTCAGGGCAGTTCAGGGTCTGGGGCTTTAAAAGGCTTAGCTAAAACCCTAAAAAGCCCGAACCCTAAAGCTGAGGGTTTGGCTGCCATGCCCAAGAACAGGGAGAGAGGGAGACGGAGAGAGGAGAGGGAGAGCGGGAGAGAGAATGGGAGAGGGACAGGGAGGTGAGAGAGGGCAGGGTGGGAGGGAAAATGAGCGAATGCATCCAACCTGGTCTCGGATGCACATTCAGGGTTTAAGGTTTAGGGTTTAGGGTTTAGGGGAAAAGGGTTTCGGGCTTAGGGTTTAGGGTGGCTCAGATTTGCAGCTCCGCCCGGCATGCGCCAAACCAACTCTGCCCCACAACGATCAACCTGCACGTCAGCGTAGACTCGTTGAGCAGGTTCGCCTTGGCAGGGTTTAGGGTTTAGGGTTGAGGGTTTAGGGTTGAGGGTTTAGGGTTTAGGGTTGAGGGTTTAGGGCTTAGGGTTCATGCAGGCCTCGAAGCATCAGACACGGTTCAAGATCCGAGTCTCAGATGTTCACCCCTGCATATGCTAAACCCCACTGCCCTGAGCCCCCTAAAGCCCCTAAAGCCCCTAAAGCCCCTAAAGCCCCTAAAGCCCCTAAAGCCCCTAAAGACCCTAAAGCCCCTGAAGACCCTAAAGCCCCTAAAGCCCCTAAAGCCCCAAATCCCTAGATAAACGCTCATGAAGGGAACTGTCCAGCCTATGAAACACACTCCAATAGCTGCCCCCCCCCCCCCCCCCCCCCCATACGGTTCTCAACATCTAAACCCTAAACCCTAAACCCTGAACCCTGAACCCTAAACCCTGAACCCTGAACCCTGAACCCTAGACCCTAAACCCTGAACCCTCAAGAAATCGAGCTGGGCTTCCGAACAACAGAAACCCTCAAAACCTCAACCCTACAGCCTCATGCAGAGAAGGCTTTACAAACATAAGGGACCCCGAATGTAAACCCCAAATAGTAGGATTCCCTGATAATGAGGACCCCAACAAGGTTTAGGGTTTCGGGTTTAGGGTTTAGGGTTTGGGGTTGAGGGTTTAGGGTTTAGGGCCCTAATATCGGAATCCCCCAACTGGCCCCTCTGTGGAGTCAAGGCCCCCACCAACATCCTCACCTCGCCCTCCAGGCTGATGCAGCGCTGCCCGAAGTAGCTCCAACGCCAGCGCACGAACCACACTGGAACAGGATTTTCGGCTTGGAGCTTCGGGGTTCAGGGTTTTTAGGGTTTAGGGTTCAGGGTTCAGGGTTTAGGGTTCAGGGTTTAGGGGTTCAGGGTTTAGGGCTTAGGGTTCAGGGTTTAGGTTTCAGGGCCAGCATTTAGGCCTTCTGGGTTGTGCATTGGCAGCGCAGCTCCAAGGCACTGGCCAAGAAACGTCACAGGAAACCCCGATGGTCCCAAAGAGCCCAATAACCCTTAAATAAGGAATATACCTTGAATTCTGCAGGGACCCTTAATATGATACAAGGTATCTCCCTTAAGGGGTATTGGGCTAAGGGTGGTAGAGCCGCCTTCCAGGACGCAGAAGAGCTCGTCACGGTGGAGGACGTACTCTGCCAGCTGGTAGAAGTTCGACCTGGGTGTGCCCAGAGGGCCCAATACCCCCTTACTTAAAGGAATATAATATACCTCATGTCATACTAAGGATCCCCCACTATGGTTTAAGGAATACTCCTTAACTAAGGGGTTTTAAGGGCTCTCTGGGTGGATGAAAAAGTTCGGCTAGGAATATGGGAGGCTTGCTGCAAAAAGTGTTGAGGCCTCAAGATAAGACGCGCTCAACCCTAAACCCACAGCCTATCCCTAAACCATAAACCCTAAACCCAAAACCCTATAATGGCCCCTAAACCCTATATTCTAAACCCAAAACCCTCAAACCACATGAGAAGCCTTCGGGACTTGGGCTATGGAGTGGGATTGGCAGGCCGAAGCACACTTCTTGGTGGTGCGGCGCGCCGCAAGTTGCCCTTGACCCCAAGTATCCCCCTGGTTCTTAGTAGGGAATGGGGGAATTAGGGCCTTGTATATATATATATATATACATACATACCCTTTGAGGGATTACATAGGGCCCTAATTCCCTCATTCCCCACTAAGAACCAGGGGGGGTGTCCAAAGCATCCGCGCTCGTGGGCCGCCTATGTAAAGCCTGAGGACAAACGAAGCCGGTTTTGGGGGGTCAACGTGCAAGAGCGCGCTCCATTGTGGTCCACAGCAGATGGTCCGACGCATGGAACTATCCTCAAGGTTCAGGCAAGACATGGCAAGACTGTACCAGGTCGTGGCAACCGGCCCTCACAGCCTCAAACCCTCAATCCACGATCTAGTGCTCTCCCACTAAATATATGAAGTAGGGTGTTTACTATTCGTATCCCCACAAGGACACACAAATTGTACACTCACCAGCACTTATTAGGAACCCTATAGACACTCAATAACAGTACTACAAACCTCATAGCCCTAAACCCTAAACCCTAAGCCCTCAACCTTTCAAAACTCACTGGCCCTGTCTGAAGCCGGCACTTTCGTAGGTTCTGCGCGCTCGTGTGTGAGGCAGTCTTGGCCTGTAGCATAGGTCTTCACTCAGTGCTCGGGGTCGCAGTCTAAGGTGCCGTTTTAGGGTTTCGGGTTTGGGGTTTAGGGTTTAGGGTTTGGGGTTTAGGGTTTAGGGTTTGGGGTTTAGGGTTTAGGGTTTGGGGTTTGGGGTGCGGGGTATGAAAAGGCAATGACCCAACTTGCAGCCCCAAGCGATGGAATACCATCGCTCCGTACCGCGAATGCGATTCGTCCCGCCCCTCACCCAACTTACATCTAAAGAAACAAGAGCTGAGTTGTCCAGTAACTAGGGGAACTAAAGGTTAACCTTTGGGATTATAAGGGATTGTATTACCCCAAAAAGGTTAAAGGCTACCTACTCTACTACCAAGAGAGGGTCTGGCAAAGAAAGCTTGTGCGAGACTGAGGGCTGAGAGAAGGGATCAGGGCCACCCAGAGTAAACCCCAAACCCCAAGCCCCAAGCCCCAAACCCCAAACCCCAAACCCCAAACCCCAAACCCCAAACCCCAAACCCTAAACCCTAAACCCTAAACCCTAAACCCTAAACCCTAAACCCTAAACCCCAAACCCTGCCGCCTCCATCTGCCACCAGTGCACGCAGATTCGTAAGAAGCCTTCGTCCGACTTCTTGCCCTCAGGATGGGGATGTGCACTTGAAGGTTCAGGGTTTAGGGCTTAGGGTTTAGGGTTCAGGGCTACGAGAACCGGGTGAATGACAGAACTGTGCTGTGAATGTAAACCGAACCTCAGGTGCAAGCAACGGGATATTCAGGGCATGCCGCTGAGAGAATGGCTTGCCCTGAGCCTGAAATTGATATCGCTGCGTATCGCACAGTTTTCACACAGCCTTGAGGCTGTAGGAGGCTGAACTCGGATCACTGAGTTTACTCCTACTGTGTCAGGGTGAGACAGTGTAAGCCGTGGATTGGACGGAGTGGGATACCAACACCATGGATCACTCAGCTTAATGTCATGAAAAAAAACGACTGTTTAGGATTTGAAAGCACCCGAACCTCACAGTCCCGATGTCCTCCAATGCTGTGAGGCCTCTCCCGCTTGACTTTAGGGTTTAGGGTTTAGGGTTTAGGGATTTAGGGTTTAGGGTTTAGAGCTCCTTAAAGCCTACATTTCTTGCGCTGTTTTTCTTGGCCTGACGCCCTTCTGTGTCTTTGTTTTATCTTCGACCTGGAGGCGTTTTGTTTTCTTGACCTAAGAGGCTATGAATCCAATCAGGGCTTGGGGCTTTTGTGGGGTGAGGGTTTGGGGTTTGGGGTTTGGGGTTTGGGGTTTGGGGTTTGGGGTTTAGGGTTTGGGGTTTGGGGTTTGGGGTTTGGGGTTTGGGGTTTGATGTTTGGGGTTTGGGTTTGGGTTTGGGGTTTGAGGTTTGAGGTTTGGGGGTGTGGGTTTGGGGGTGTGGGGTTTGAGGTTTAGGGTTTAGGGTTTAGGGTTCAGGGTTTAGGGCCAGCCCTCCGTCGCAACCGAGCAGCGCTGGTTGTCAGCACAGCCGCGATGTGCGCCTCTTATGGGCCGAGGGATGTTTTGCTAGCTGATGTGGGGGTTTCCGAAATTATTGGTACACTTTTTGGGGGGTCCCTTTAAGGGGATTCTATTCTATTTGGGGTATATAAGGGGTACCCCTATTTTCGGCAATACCCATGTCCCTAAACACTACACCCCAAAGCCAGAACCCTACATTTCGGGATGTAGGATTCGGGCTCGAGGTCGAGAAAAATCAACTCGGGCTCCTTGTGAAGCCAAAGTGGGTAGATTTTGGGTTTAGGGTTTAGGGTTTAGGGTGCAGGGTTTAGGGTTTGGGGTTTAGGGTTCAGGCAGGAAGTTGATGGATCCGTTTTGACCGACCGAGGAGTCTAGAGTTGCTAGCAAGATTCAACCCTCTCCTTCCCTGAAATCTCCAACCCAAAAGAGGCCCAATACCCCTTGAACAAGGAATATACCTTATATAAACCATATGAAGGATCCCTATACAATGTCAGGTATGTAACTTAAGAAAGAGGCCAATACCCCTTGAACAAGGAATAGACCTTAAACCCTCTGAAGGATCCCTATGTCATGTAATGCAAGGTATGTAACTTAAGGTACATTCCTTAATGAAGGGGTCTGGGGCTCTCTGTGAAAGCAAAGCGGGGACCTTGCCGGTAGAGTTCGTGCAGTTGCAAGGACAGCCCTCCGCAATCTTATCCAGGTTCCTTTTGGGCTGAAGGTGAACCTTTGGGCTAGAAGGATATGAACACGCTCCAGTTTAGGGTTGACTCGACCCAAGCGTGACCTGGGAATAACAAGGGTGCCCTTTCTGGTTTACGGGGGTGTGTAAGGGAACCCAAACCCTAACAAGAAGGGAATCAGGCCCTCATAGTTGAGGGTGTTAAGAGTTTAGGTGTTAAAACGCTGGCTAAACACAGCATTGTGGAACTACAAGCCTGCGCCCGCGTCCGTAAACCCACATTGCGTTAACTACCCAGAGAGCCCAATACCCCTTTATTAAGGAATGTACCTTAAATTGCGTAGGAGGGATCCTTCATAAGATTTAAGGCATTCCTTGTTCAAGGGGTATTGGGATCTCTGGGTACCTCATTGCAAGCTGCGGTCGCGAGATGTTCAGATCGCAAAAGACAAGTCATCAACTCGAGAAGCTTAAAATGGTGGTTTCCGAAATTCGGGCACCTTTTATTTTGGGGTCCTTACTATACGGGAAGCCTACTATTTGGGGGTCTATTTTCGGTATTCTGGCAAAGGCCCCCAAAAAAGGATAAAGAAGACTGCCCTGGCCTTGCGGCGATTCACACGAACATCGCTGACCTCTAAAGAAAGAGCAGACAGTTCCAGGGCCAGGGTTCAGGTTTAGGATGTAGGTTGGGATGTTCCCCTTTATACTAACAGTCCTTGATAGGAATTCTAGTACCCCCGATTATAATCCCTATTCAGGCCTGTTAGCATGAGGGGAACCCCAGGATGTAGGGCTTTTGGGAGCATCATGAGTTGCGCTTCAGAGCGTCGGGCGTCTTGTTCCAGGCTTTCTGGCTTGTCTGGCATGTAAGAGGGGACATAAAGGCAAGGCAACAAGACGGCTAAACACCAAACCCTAAACCCTAATCCCCAAACCCTAAACCCCAAACCCTAAACCCATAACTCCCACTGTCTTTTGCAGTAGCTTCCCGGTCCAGCTAGGGTTGCAAGCTCATGGTGGTGAGTTTCTGGGGACCGCTTTCAGGTCTTCTGAGTCTACGTCTCTCCTACACATGGTCACGTATCCGTAAGCCCTATACCCAAAGCCCCAAAACCCGAAACCCCAAACCCTTCGACTTGTGGTAGTCCGGGGTAGCCTGGAAGATCACCCACTGAGGCGGAGCAATTCCACAAAAACAATCCTGCTTCACCCCAAGCCCCCTAAACATCCTAAACCTTCCAACCCCCAAGCCCTGAAAACCCTTCAACAAAAACCTTGAAAGACCTTAACTAACACAAACTTGTAAAAACAAACCGAAAAAACACCAGAAGAACCCTACAAGCCCTTAAACAACCTTCAAAAACTACTTTAAAAAACAACCACAACCCGAAACAACCCAAAGGTCGGCCCTTGGCCTGGGCCAAGCGCCTCCAGGCCAGCAGCGCCCGCAGCGCCAGGGTTGCAGCCAGCATGTTGGGCGTGTCTTGCGAGGCGTGGGTCTGAAGGTAGGGTTTAGGGTTTAGGGTTTAGGGTTTAGGGTTCAGGGTTCAGGGTTCATAGGGTTCATAGGGTTCATAGGGTTCATAGGGTTCATAGGGTTCATAGGGTTCATAGGGTTCAAGGTCTCAGGGACTCAGGGTTCGTAGGGTTTAGGGTTTAGGGTTTAGGGTTTGGGGTTTAGGGTCTGAGGGTTCATAGGGTTCATAGGGTTCATAGGGTTCATAGGATTCACAGGGTTCATAGCGTTTATGGTTGGGGTTTAGGGTCTCAGGATTCATAGGGGTCTTAGGCGTCTTCGTTTTTTTCTGTTTAAGGGTTCGTAGGGTCTGTATAGGGCTCATCGGGTCTCGAGTTCATAGGTTCCATAGGGTTTGATTAGGGTGTCGGATCAGTGCTTCGGGTTTGGGGTTCACTCTTTGCTTCAGAACCCCACCAAAAAAGCGGCATACCAAACCCATAAACCACATAACCTACACCGAAGGGCCTCTTGTGTTCCGAGAGTCTTGCCTCAACCGCGCCCCAAGTAGCCGCAGCTGAAAGCAGTGCCCGCTTAGCGCCTTAAGCCGATGCCATCAAGCCCAAACCGTTTAGGGCTTGGGGGTTTAGGGTTTAGGGTTTAGGGTTTAACCCTAAACTCGAAGCCCAACACCATAAGGCTCTAATGCACGACTTAGGCGGAACCCTAGGCCCCAGACCAAAAGCCCCAAAGAAACAAACATCCCCTGAAAACCCTTAAGCCCTAAACCCTAGACCCTGCAATCCTAAACCCTACACCCAGAGATTGAACACGCCGACTCAACCCTCAAATCTAGGCCCCAATGTGCCAAACCCTAAGCTTCTGAACTCTCAACTTCTAAACCTCCTACACCCTAAACTCCCACACACCCTAAGCCAATGAACCCTTAACTCCTGAACCCTAAGCTCCTAAACCCCACAAAGCTTCTGAACCCGAACCTCCGAACTCCAAAGCCTAAATTTCCGAATCTCTCCACCCTGGCCTCGCGTCAGCACCTGTGCTGCCTGGAGCAGCGCCACCCGTCGCGCCTCCTCGCCAATTTTCCACAAAAGGGGTGCCTCGTTTATACTCCCAAATAGAATAGAATCCCTTTAAAGGGACCCTCCAAACAGGGCACCCCTATTTTCGGAAACCCCCATAAAGGGTTCAAGTATTCCGGCGTCTGGAGGTTTAGAAGGTTTAGGGTGTGTAGGGGGCTTTGAAGGTTAGAGCTTCTAGGGCTTTGCGGCTTTGGGACTTTAGGATTTAGGCTGCTGCAGGCTTAGGCTTCAGTGTTTGGGATCGGGGCTGTGGGTTTGGGGCTTTGGCCGGGGCTGTAGGGCTTGATTTAAAGACGGTCGGGCTCTGCTTACGGTTTAGGATTTAGGAACTAGGGTTTAGGGTTTAAGGTCCAGGGGTTAGGGTCCTACAGTCGCCAAACGCCACGACGACCCTCGCAAGTGTTCGAGGAGACCTTGGCATCCCAACCCCCCCCCCGCCCCCTGCCCCTTAAACGACTCACTGAAGCCAAAACCTGCAGACATCTCAGAAGCTGCACTCCCTTCCCCCCCCAGGGTCAGGGTTTAGGGAAAAGGGTTGAGGGTACAGGGCTAAGGGTTTGGGGTCCTCCCCTCCCTCCCCCCAAAGAAATTGGGGCCCCTCGCCGACGACTGTTGATGTCTTTCACGAGCGTCCTGAATAACCTGGAGGAAAAAGAATGTCACCCTAAACCCTAAACCCGAAACCCCAAACCCTAGATCGCCAAGGGTGTACGTTTGGGGTTGGTGAATAGAAACTAGGCCCAGTGTGGTACCTTGTAGTTTGAGGAACATACATTCTCTACTCGAAAAACCCTAAATGATACCTAAAGCCCAAGACTGAGAAGGAATGCTGTAATGTACCTACCTGCAGTGAAAGAAAACACTAAACCCGAAGCCCTAAACCCTAAACCCAAAGGGAGAGGGAGAGAGAGGGAGAGAGAGCGGGAGTGAGTCGTCGCCCACAGTCGCTCCTATACTCCCCTTGCCCTAGAACAGCACTCGTACTGATAGACACTCACTCTCCTTCGGCGTTTCCACAAACAAGATACCCAAAGAGCCCAATACCCCTTAAATAAGGAAGATACGTGAAACCAGAATAAAGATCCTCATATAGTTCAAGCTATAATCCTTATCCAAGGGGTATTGGGCTCTCTGGGTAGAAGAAAGCCCCAAGGAGACGATGGTTTCACGAGGCCAGATTCAACTGCCCAGGGCTCCCGGAGCACTTTCAGAAGCGCCAAGTCATCCCCCCAAATGAAAACCCGAAGCGGGTTTAGGGTTTAGGGTTTAGGGTTTGGGGTTTAGGGTGTAGGGTTTAGGGTTTAGGGCTGACCCAGGAGTTCAACAACTTCCGAACTATGTTCATAGCCAGAGCCCTGTCATCTCGCTGAGCAATCGGGAACTTGCAACTACTCCGAGAAACCCTAAACCCTAAACCCTAAACTGCCTAGCGTATATCTTGACCAGGACTGTCCAAGGCCCTGGCGGCAACCTGCCACGCGACCATCGTGCGGGACACGAGACCATAGAACTGGTCCTGCGGAAACCCTAAACCCTAAACCCTAAAACCTCAAACCCTAAACCCTAAACCTTCAAACCCTAAACCCTAAAACCCTAAAACCCTAAAACCCTAAAACCCTAAAACCCTAAAACCCTAAAACCCTAAACCCTAAACGGGTGCTGAGGACTCTACGGGAAGCATAAAAGCCTTAAATTCTGCTGCGTATCCCCTAGGGAGGGAATGCGGCTAGGTACCCCATTAAAAACATATAAGTATAAAACAAAATTAAAATATAAATAAGTATATATATATATATATACATATGTATTTATTTATTTGTTTATATGTATAAATATATTAATTTATTTATATGCATGTGTTTATATGTACAGATATGAGGAAACTCCTGAAACGACATATGTACACCTTGAGGGTTCAAAGTGATGCTCAGGTCTTCAGAGAGTGGACCTTGGACGTACTTGAGGTCGGAGACCAGGCGATGACACTTCACGAAGTGTAGGGTTTAGGGTTTAGGGTTTAGGGTTTAGGGGTTTAGGGGTTTAGGGGTTTAGGGTTTAGGGTTTAGGGTTTAGGGTTTAAGGTTTAGGGTTTAGGGTTTAGGGTTTAGGGGTTCGGTCTTATGGAGTGTACCCGAAAGTGTATCGGGGTAGATTGGTCATAGGGTTGGGAGTTCAGGCTTATAAGGCCACTCAAGAAGAAGCCTAAGACTTCCACAGCTCACACCAGGAAATACTGAAGCTCGACAGTTTGACAGACAGGAGTTGAGGACCTGCTCAGAATCATACTACCAAGCCCCAAAGCAAAATACTCTTCCTAAAAGGGTAATACAGGGACGATTACTTTGTGGTCTTTTTGGGTTTTTTGAAGCAAACAGCCCTAAAACCTCTGTCCTGGCGCCAGAGCATGACTGTCACGGCCAAATTGTCTGACAGCTTCTCCGCTGAGCCCACGCGCTCACCTCGCCCCAAGTTTCCGTTCGAGAGAACAAAACCCAAAGCCTAAAAGTCCTTTGAGCCTATATATAAGTTTTAGGGTTCAGGGATTTCTGTTCTAGGACCCAAAGTCCTAACGCTCCAACCCTTTGACGAATTAGATTCGTTCGGATGCATGGTTTGGTAGGGTGCTCTTCCTAGCAGAGGGATTGTTTCATGGCTGGCGCTCTCGCTGGAGCTCTGCATGGGGTTGATCCAAATCACGGATCTCTGTTGTGCTCTATTTCTTGTAGTGTAGTGTGCCGGAAAAAACACGGACCCATCATTGAGATCAACTGCTACATACTTGCACGCGCGTTGATCCCTCAAAGCCCAAGCAGCACTCTAGACAGTCCTATGCCGGAAGCCCCAAACCCACAACAAACCTCAAACCTAGACCTCAAACCCCATACCTAAAGCCCTAAAGCCCCCAAAACCCACAACAACCCTAAACCCTAAGCCCTAACCCTAAACCCTAAAGCCTAAACCCTAAACCCTAAACCCTAAAGCCTTAAAGTCAAAACTGAGCCTCAAGATCGCAAGGCTGGCAGAATGGACTCCCTAGTCATCAGGTGGGGAGTTTAGGGTTTAGGGGTTGAAGGGTATATCCTTGGTGGGGTTTAAGGGTTTAGGGGTTTAAGGGTTTAGGGTGTAGGGAATGGTCTGTTTTCCATAACACAGGACGTCCTGCAGTCCAACATCCTGCTAGATGCCCCGAATGGGTTTGGGGTTTAGGGTTTAGGGTTTAGGGTTTAGGGTTTAGGGTTTAGGGTTTAGGGTTTAGGGTGCAACTCCAAAAAATTCGCCCCTCAAGCCCAGCAAGTTTCCCGAAACCCGAAACCCCAACGCCCCATTCTCCCGAAACCCTAGACCCACCTAAAAAAAAAAAACAAGCCCCCAACCCCAAAAACACCCAAGCCGGTGTACTATAGGGGCCTCAGTACTGAGAATAGGGTTCTGGGGATATTCAAGTATAATCATCAAAGGGACCAGAAGGGAATGCTACTAGGAAGTTTCGACCCCTAGAAACCCTCACGCTAAACCCAAACCCTAAAGCCTGAACCCTAAAGTCACAACCCCAAACCCGGAACCCTAAACCCTCAACCCGAAACCCTACGTTACACCATAAAAAGCCTAAACCCTAAACCCTAGCTCCGGCCTCGCGCGCGCCGCGACTCGGCAGCCCAAAGTGAGAAGGCCGTGGTCCAGGTGAGGCGATCCAAGGCCTTCTCTGAAGCAGAGGTTTGGTTTAGGGTTTAGGGTTTAGGGTTTAGGGTTTAGGGTTTAGGGTTTAGGGTTTAGGGTTTAGGGTTCAGGTTTTAGGGTTTAGGGTTTAGGGTTTAGGGTTTAGGATTTAGGATTTAGGGTTTAGGTTTTAGGGTTTCGGGTTTAGGGTGTAGGGTTTAGGGATGAGGGATTAGAGATCAGGGTTTAGGGTTTAGGGCCAAGGGTTTCCTTGGTGCTTTAGGGGTGTCTCACGAAACTAGCTAGTTAGCTTGGTGGAACTGATAAACCCTTAACAAGTAGACACTAAACCCATATTCCCTGAGCCTGAACGCAGAGCCAGAAGACCCCAGATCTCCCGACAGTAAAGACCGCAATATCCCCAAAACTCAAGAGTTAACCCTCAGCCGGAAACCTGTGTTCCGATTTCGGTTCTAGGGGGGCGAGCCACGAGCTTGCGATAGACAATCGACGTAGGTTTAGGAGCCGAAACCTCAAACCCCTAAATCCCTAAACCCCTAAACCCCTAAATCCCCCTAAACCCCCCTAAACCCCCCTAAACCCCCCTAAACCCCCCTAAACCCCCCTAAACCCCCCTAAACCCCCCTAAACCCCCCTAAACCCCCCTAAATCCTAAACCCCTAAACCCTCAGCCCTAAACCCTGAACCCTAAAGGCCCTAAACCCCTAAACCCCTAAACCCCTAAAAACCCCAAACCCTAAACCCTAAACCCTCTGTAGGTTGAGGGTTTAGGGGCGTCCAGCCGCCAACAACCCTCATGCAACTCCGAAAAATTGACCACCGCAGAATGTTGGCCACCAACCCTGACGCAACTGCAAAAAGATCGGCCGCCAGTCGTACTGCAAGTCCGAAGAATCGTCACCAACCCGAATGCAATTCCAAGGCAAGGGTTTAGGATTCAGGGCCCAGGGTTCAGGGCCTTTAGGGTTTATGGTTCAGGGCCTGGGGTTTAGGGTTTGAGGGTATGTGTTGTTGTGTGTCTTGTCGCATGCAAAGAAAAATGGGATTCTTTGGGCAGGTGGGTGGTTGTCCGTTGCACGAACAGAATTGCTGGGCTAGTGAATGCTTGGACTTGAGATGCTGAACCCTAAACCCTAAACCCTAAACCCTCAACCCCGCAACCCTAAAACTCCAGCCCTGGCACGCGGCGCCTGCCCATCGCGGTCCAGCGCCGACGTGAGCACTCTCCCCAAGCAGCGGCCGCGCCTCCGAGGGTCGGCTGCGATGGTTTAGGGTTTAGGGTTTGGGGTTTAGGGTTTAGGGTTAGGGTTTAGGGTTTAGGGTTTAGGGTTTAGGGTTTGGGGTTTAGGGTTTAGGGTTTAGGGTTTTAGGGTTTTAGGGGTTTTAGGATTTTAGGGTTTTAGGGTTTTAGGGTTTTAGGGTTTGAGGGTTTCAGGGTTTCAGGGTTTTAGGGTTTTAGGGTTTTAGGGCTTTAGGGGTTTAGGGTTTTAGGGTTTTAGGGATTTAGGGTTTCAGGGTTTTAGGGTTTTAGGGTTTTAGGGTTTTAGGGATTTAGGGTTTTAGGGTTTTAGGGTTTTAGGGTTTTAGGGTTTTAGTAGTATAGGGTGTTTATAGGTTGCTAAAAGGCATTTATTCCTTTCAGCAGGGCTTTTGTAATTAGGGCTTGAAAAAGTCTCTTTTTTAATGGGGGTTGTATAGGGTTTATGTAGTTTTTGTTTTGGCTTTTGTAGATTTATTGAAGTGCCTTGTATGGTTTACATGGGGTTTACAGGGTTTGACGTGTGTTTATGTTGGGCTTATATGGATATTTATACAGGGTGTTTATAGGGTTTATGTTGGGTTTATAGGTTTTCGAGGGCTTTGTAGGCTTTGTATTGGGTTTGGTACAGCTTTTAATTTGCAGAGTCTTTATAGGTTTTATCCAGAAGGGTAAATTGGTGAGTGAGCAGGTGAGTGGACGGCCTGGGGTGCTCTCCGGCCAATGGAAACGTTCCCTCCCGCCAGCCCGCTTTTGCGTCATTGGGGAAATCCAGTTCGACGCTTCGAGCCCCTCAATCCGAGCTGGGAAAAATACCACTCGAACCTCCATGGGGGTACTTAGGCAAGACAGCCCACTTCACAGGAACTCTTCCTCAGTATTGTGAATATGTAAAAAACAAAGTACCTAATAATAATAATACTAATAATAACAGCATGAGAATAGTAATAATAATGATGATAAAAAAAAAGTAATATTATTAATAACAAAAACAACAACAATAAGAATAACAATAACAATTACAATAATAATAACAATAATCATCCGAAAATAAATACAGCACGCAAGCCCCGAAACCGAACCTTGTCGTCCAATTGTGCTGCTTCGCTCGAATGACTGCCGAAGGGTTCCGACTATGGACCTGGCAGAAGCGGGGTTTAGGGTTTAGGGTTTAGGGTTTAGCAGGTCAAACTCTCCACGTCTGCTTACACATTGATGAGGAGGCTAAGCTCTCCTAAATGCAGCTAGGCAGACTATGCAGAAGGAAGGAGAGACGAATCTTCAACGCTTGCGCATGCTTGCGCCGTCCATCTGCCGTCCATCTGCCAGCAGCACTTACTGCCATCATCAGAGGTAGGTAGAATCAGTCGCCGTGGAGTCCACAGCACAAGGAGTGCTGCCCCCGGCTCTTCCCAAGACGAGCCTCGGAAGCCATTGGCAACCGAAGTTTGATAAGTCCTCAGCCTTGAGCAAAAACTTTCCAACATGAGACCTGCCCCTTCAGGGCAGGAGTCAGGAGGATAATGCCTCATGAAGGGAGAAATTTTTAAAAGGAGTTCCGTCTGAGACCGGAGCATTGCGCCAGCGTCAAACAGACTTCTTAGGCCAAGGGCACAACGTACTGAGATTGCACCACGTAGGTCGGAGACACCAGAATGCGAGAGCCGTGGGGTGCGAGGTCAACCGACATCCCGTACAGGTCCTTCATCTGCTTGCAGAGGTTGTCGAAAGACTCGGGAGAAACCTGGTGGCAATCCTTGTCCACATGCCAAGTGATGACGTATGGAGAGCACACTGAGTTGTCGTGCGACTGGCCGGTGGTTGACCTGGGATCGAAAGCTCAAGCACGGGTCGGACTTATGATTTTACTTGGGGTTTGTTGAGGGCCATGGTGCTTTATGGAGCTTTGGGCTTAAAGTTTCGGAGGGTTTCGTCGTGTGGCTTGGGGCTTACGGCTAAGGCTCTGAGCTTGGGGTTTTGGGCTTGTACGGTCGGCTTAGGGTGTTGAACCCAACTTGAGCAAAGTGCTGCAGTGCTCTCAGAGACTCGAAACTTAACGACTTCAAAAGGAGGAACGGTGTCTCTTGCAAGCCACGTGGCCCAGAGTACATGACAGAATTGTTGTGTCCAACCACAGTCCAGCCATGGAGCAGATCATTCACAGTAGGCCCCCCGTTCACGATCTGGTAGATCTGGCCCTGCACCACGACCATAGGGTTCAGAAGGCCACGGCCGTTTGCGGCACCTACAACATGAGCACGCGGCTTTCGACATAACACTTTAAACATCAAGCGCTCTGGAAAGCGGTGCCTCACCGAAGCAGCAACGAGTAAAACGTTGGCTATCGGAGACTCACACACACACGCATCACAGCGCATTCGCACACGCGAAGACTCACCCATGCTCACGGTGACTGTGTGACAAACAGATCAGGGTGGTTGGTGCTCACGTGCCTCCCAAACCATCCGCGAGGAGGTCTGCATTCATGCCGTCCGAAGCATCGTTGTCGGTGCCGGCTGAAGAGTGCACGTAGTGGACCTCGTAGGACTTGCCGACCTGCACGTCACCCGTGCAGTGCTGAAAGGTGTACGGCGTCATCTGCGCGTCAGTGAGCGTGTCGGTTGGGCACATGAAGCCAGGCCGGGGGTTGCTGGCCAGGCGCCTGCCGGAGGAGGCCGCGTCGTACGCCATCGCATCGGTGTCGTTGTTGTAGGCATCGCTCTTGTGCTCAGCCCCCAAGTGGAAGTGCACGTTCACCAGCGGCAGGAAGTTGGCCTGAGCATCTGTCAGCGTGGCCGCCTTCGGCACCATGCTGCCCGTTGCGCCGGTTGAGAGATCACGAGGCGTCTGAGGCTCGGCTGCGCTGCAAGCTGGCTTGTTGAAGTTGTACGGGCAAGTGGCGGTGCCCGGCACGGGGTTGCTCAACACCGTTGTGGGGGAGCCGCAGCACTGCCTAGACCCAGGAGTAACCTAGGAATAAAAAAGGGCGCCCTTTTTGGTTTTAAGGGGATTATAAGGGAACCCCAACCCCAAAAAAAGGAAAAAAGGGCCTACTCCTGGTCCTAGCTGCTCACTCTTGTAGAAAGCCTTCAAGTCGCCGCAAGTGGCGGCCTCCGCCCCAACCACGGACAAGGCAAGCAAGCGCAGCATGGCTGGATACGACTACCTGGCAACAACCCTTTCACGAGCCCTTCTTGTCTGGCAAACGCTCAAAGCAACGGAAGCAACATCGGCAGGCGGATTTCAGTCAGATCATCTCAGAGAGCAGCTGATGATAATGCGTCTGCCCGCTACCAGGCAAACAACCCTAAACCCTAAACCCTAAACCCTAAACCCTCAACCCTCAACCCTCAACCCTCAACCCTCAACCCTAAACCCTAAACCCTAAACCCTAAACCCTAAACCCTAAACCCTAAACCCTAAACCCTAAACCCTAAACATGGCTGAAGGGCGTCGCGCCAGCCGCCAAACGTCCCCCGAAGAATGCCCTGAGCCTCGGTGAGACTGGGTTACCGCAGGCTCCCAAAGAGCCCAATACCCCTTTAGGGTATTCAGTGGTTTAGGGTTTAGGGTTTAGGGTTTAGGGTAAGGAATATACCTTCAGCTATAGCATAAGGATCCCTAGTATACCTTCAACCATGGTATAAGGATCGCTAGTATACCTTAAACCATAGTAGAAGGATCCCTATATGATTTAGGCACATTCCTTTATTGAGGGGGTATTGGGCTCTCTGGGCTTGAGGTTGGGGTTCCAGTTGCATCCTGGACTCGAGATACAACCCAACAATATTGGCTGACGGGCGTTGTGAACTTTCATCTGGGCCTAGAGCTGGTTTAGGGTTTAGGGTTTAGGGTTTAGGGTTTAGGGTTTAGGGGAACTCGAGAAGACCTGGACCGACCACGAAACGCATCGAGCGCCGCGCTACTCACCAGGGCATAGGTGAGTGTGCTTGCACATGTGACGTGTGTTTCTTCGTCTGTTGCAAGCGTCGCTCTGACAGAGTAGACATGCAGCGCCGAAGAACCAGGCCACAACACGGCACATCACACAAATTGCACTGTACAATCTCTTGCAATCTCTTGCGTCCGAGTGGCCATGCGCTGTTCCACCAACGCTGCAAGGGACCTTGCCTGATGGAGCTGCGTGATGAAACCGGACCATTGGCTGAAGACCTGAGCTGCAAGATAAATTTTGTTGCAGAGCTCTTTTTTAACTCGCGGCGAAAATTGGGGCCAGATACCTGCTCATGGCTAGCCCTCTAAAATTCGATCCCTGTGGGTCCTAGATATGTAAATAGTATATGCATATACATATACATATACATAGTACGGCACCCCCATAATAAGGACCCGCAAAGAGACCCCTAATTCAGAGAACTATTCATATGGCAGCCGATAGCTCTACAGGACTGTTACGAGCATCAGTTCTGGGCAATCAGGTCAAGAAAGGAGGCTTAACACCCTAAACCCTAAGCCCTAAACCCTAAACCTAACCACTAAACCCTGAAGCCTAAACCCTGGTCCTCTTGGGGGTCCTGGCAATAAGGGTGCCGCAGCCCGTAGAAAACTCCAAGCCCCAAACCCGAATTTAGCGACCTAGCCCATCTGGAAGCATTTCAATAGCATCTCCAAGATCGTCAGAGGGGATGTAGGGGGGTATAAGGGGTCATTGGGGTTATAGGTTATAGAGATCATAGCGCTTACAGGGCTAAAAAAAGGTTTTGGGTTAGGGCCTCAAATGTCAAGACCTGGCCCATCTCTGGGGAGTGTACCGCTTGGGCGGTGAGATGCTGCAGGCGGATGGGGGCCTGTAGTTCAGCGGCTTTCGCTTTCGTTGCCCTAAGCCCGAAACACGAAACTCCAAATCGTGGTAGGGTTTCGGGCTTGAGGCTGGACTTGTTCAGCTCGTTTTCGGAAGGAGAGATGTTTGGGCCTCGTCACACCCCATTGTAGGGGCACGGCCTACTTAGGGATTAAGGCTGCGGATTCTCAGGGGTTAGGTAACCTACTTGTAAAGGGTTTCTTTGGGGTGATTACAGGGTTTGGGGTAGGGTCTGTTAAAGCAGGCCGGGGAGTCTGCCCCCTAAACCCTACAGCTTCAAGAGCCCTTACGAGCCCCTCTGCGCCCTTATGAGCCCTTGTGAACCCTCAACCCTAAACCTTAAGCCCTACATGAAGAAAAATCATACAGACAAATCACTACACCAACTATCTATGGGGACTTTTGCACTGCACGGCTGCATGTGCATTCTCGATTTGTCCGTGTCGTCCATGAACATGTTGACCTGAGTGGAGGGGCCATGCTCATCTTCTTTGTACTTCCGACAGGCCCTCCTGAGCAGAGATGTCTTGCAGTTCTGATCACCATTTCACTGCTGCAAAGTGTACATGCCTGAAGAGACTGACAATGCATGCCTCCGTATGAAGCTTGCAGTGCTTTGTGTGTAGTCTCTTGAAACACCAACCCAGCGAGGGTACACAAATGCAGTATCTTGCCCCATTGCAAATAGTTCGTGCCCATATCAGCTTCGCTATCCTCTGTGCGCACTTTGTGCACTGTGAAGTCGTTGCTTTGAACGCGCTGCTGGATCCACAGATCGCAACTTGAGATATGTTTTGCTTTCCCGTGCCCGCGACGGGAGATGAGCGATTTTGCTGCGGAAGCATCCATGTGGAGCTCTCCCTTCAACTCAAGCCCGAAATCGGCGGCCATAGCCAAGGCAAGGGGTGAGCTTAAACCCTTCCAGCCTTAAACCTTAAAGCCTCCCAGTAAGCAAGGGGCCCCTAAACCCTCCCAGGAGGCAGGGGCACCTTAAACAAGGGGGGCCCTAAACCCTTCCAGTAGGCAGGGGGACCTTAACCCTCGCAAAAGCAAAGCGGGGCCTTACACAGTTCCAATAGGCAGGGGGACCTTAAACCCTCCCAGTAAGCAGGAGGCCTTAAACCCTGCACCGAAAAGCACCGAAGCTGCTTTCCAACCCGCCTAAAACTCTGACTCACCAGAAGACAGAGAAAGAACCTGTTGTGTAGAGGAATAGCGCTTTATCAGGCGAGAGCCATGGAAGAGAAAATCTGAGGACGTTGACTTACGCGTCTCTTTGCAACCAGCGTCATCACTGTCAGATTTGACGACAAACTTGCCAACCTAGTTCTGATCCGCAAAGGTCCAAACCAGGCGTGGTTTGCCAATGAGATATCTTGCCAGCCGCTTCAGCTTCAGCCAACTCTTCTCAGTGGGGTGGCTCATTTCTCGAGCAGCCTCTTTGACAGCGTAGATGATGTCTGGTCGGTCCATACTCAAGCACGCAGCCCTCATGGCGAGACTGCGATATGTCTTCGTATCGTCTGCCGAAAGCTCCTTGTTTTCAAGACTTTGCCGCGCAACTCCAGGGCTGGAGACTGGTCTAGCGCCAAGGACGCCTAACGCGCGCAACAAGATCTGCGCGTGGCGAGGATCTACTTCGTAAGTGCAAAATGGAGACATCTTTCAAATCGTCCTTGTCTGGCCCCAACACACCACCGTATTTGATCTCATATCTTGTCATGATCACGTCTTTCAACCAGTTCAAAGAAGTTTCTGGGCCAAATGATGTTACATCATCAGACATCGTCGACTGAAACATACAAACGCCTCAAAGCATTGACATAGATGACTGGGTTACTTAAGTAGGCCTTGGATAAAGCCATGACGTGATTTCCAACTCCCAGTTCTGCGCAGCACCTTTGCGCCCGTACATGCTCTTGTTGAGCCGCACACATTTTCCAGGTTGTGCTTCTTCGGGCGGCACATAGATCAAACGCTGAACCGCTGGTGAACTGTCTCCCAAAAGCGGCAATTAAAATCTCTGCAGCTTCCATGTCTTCACGAACCTTCTCATCGTAACGCGTCTCGCGCACTCTGGCTTGCTCTATTCGAGCCTTGCCTTGTTACCTTGTTCATCTTGCATCATGACCTCATAAAGACGGGCTTGCCAGCACCTTTGCCACGTCCTCCTTGTTTACCACCACCCTTGCCTTTGACACCAGACCTTCCTGTCGAGCGGTCCTTGCCTTTGCCACCGCCGAACTTGCCAGAGCCTTTTCCCCTTGCTATTGCCGACACCTTTTCTACACTCAAACGGCAGGTGCTCACCGCCAAAGATCCATCAGGGACCCCTTTTCCTCATCACTGCGCCGACGTCCATGGCCGTGCTTGACACCTGATACATCGTCTCGAGGTAGCCGAAAATCTCTTCTCTGCTGTCCTGGAAGGTCTTGAAGTTGAGGTTGAGATGCTCACGTAACTTGCCTGGGCACATAGCGATCACTGTAGCTATCTTGAGATTCCCTGAGCTTCATACTCGATGATGCGATTCTCCCACGCGATGATCTCACCACCGAGTTGGCCTAGCGGGACATTCTCTGGCGGGCCGGTGATGCGTGTCAGGCTTGCGCATTGCCTCCCGACGCTGGCTGGGTTGAAGCGAGCGTGTAGCTTTCGCGTTGCTCCAAAGCCGTTCGGCCCCTGGGCTTGCTTAGCCAAAGGCTTGGGCTCGCCTCCAGTGTAAGAGCTAAGACACGCATAGATGTTGGAATCTGTGTAGTCAATCAGCAGCGGGTCTAGGTCAGGAAAATGCAGTTTGACAGCATCCTTATCCAGCGCAGTCCTCGGCTGATCACTCGCAATCCACTCGAGCACCTCCCATATGCCAGGCATGCTAGCGTCCAGGAAAGTCACCATGGCGTCTTGCCGATCATGAAAGCTTTGCTTGGCCTCTTTAATTCCATCATACACAGAAGGTTTTCCGAGGCTCTGCTGATCAACAGCTCCTTGATGGATGGCGTAGCTGGGTTCGCCCGAGCACTTCCGGCCAGGTTGAAAAGCGTGCCAAACTGCGTAGCTGCGGTGTGTTGAGTTGCTGAACTGCTTTCAACCGCTCCTGCAGCATCTGCGGGCTGCAGTGCATGAGCCTGAGCCGTTCGACTGCTTCCAACCGCTGCTGCTTGAGACATGCTTGAGCCAGGCACGCTAGAAACATTCTGGGCAAAAGCTTGCATCTGCTGCTGCAAGGCACTTACGCTGGAAACGACCTGCGACATCTGATCAATTCCAGTCTGTTGCCCTTGGACGGCTTGCGACAACTGCATGAGTTTGGTCCGTCGTCGCTTGCTGCTGCTGAGAAAAGGCCAACAGCACCTGCTGAACAACCTCACCTACAACGTGCTCTGTCACAACTTGGGTGCCTGCAAAACCCTGCTGAGTTTGCGCCGACCCGCGATCGCTGCAGCTGTTGCTCACTAACGAGCTGTTGCAACATATATTGCCTATGTCTGCCAACGACGGCGTTCCTGCTGATCCACCACCATCTGCCATGATGCCACAGATACTGTACTCGCAAAATGCGAAACTGATGCCGCATAAAACTGATTGTATGAAATGTATGTGAACTGCAAAGTCTCACGCACTGATGGTTGCCCCGGTATCCTCACCGCGGCTCCTCGCTACCATGAAGAACTATAGAGACAAATCACTACACCGACTATCTAACGGGACTTTTGCACTGCACGGCTGCAGGTACATTGTCGATTTGTAGTCGTCCATGAACATGTTGACCTGAGCGGAGGGGCCATGCTAATCCTCTCTGTACTTCCGACGCTCAACCCTAAACGGCCCTAAGCCCCAAATCTAAATGTGTCCCCGGAGGGCTGAAACCGCGCAGCCCTTTCTGTGGAGGTCGGGGAGCAGGACTAGACCCAAGAGTCACCTAGGAGTAAAGAGGGTGCCCTTTTTTGGATTAAAAAGGGGTTTATGAGGAAACCTATACACCCGAAAACAAGGAGAATTAAGGGCCTACTCCCGGTTCCTACAGGACTTTGTCTACGGCCGAGTTTGTGCACATGCCCTGTTCGGATGGGGGCGGATCAAAAGCTGATCACAAGCGCACGCACATCCTCAGCTGCCCTCGACATAAGAACCCTGAGCCCAAACCCTCAAACCTAAACCCTAACCCTTGACCTGGCCAGGGCCCCTGCCAATCGTGCCTGAGCCCTGGCTGCCTCCACAAGGATTTTTCTGCAGATGGAACAAGTAGGGTTTAGGGTTTAGGGTTTGGGGTGTATAGGTTTTGGGGTTTAGGCTTTAGTTTGTTGATTCTGTAAAGCTGGCTTTCAGGTGCAAGGCTTAGGGTTTAGAGGTAAGCCCACGTGGCTCTCACACTGCTATTGAAACAGAAAGTTCTTAGGATGCAAACAGGTGCATGGCTGAGCATCTCTGCACAGTTGACTTCTGTTGACGACCTACCCTCAACCATGAAGACAACCAAAAACTTTGGACACCTAGACCCAGGAGTAAGCTAGGAATGACAAGGGTACCCTTTTTTTGTTTAAAGGGGCTTATAAGGGAACCCCAACCCTAAAAAAGGGGAACAAGGGCCTACTCCGGGTCCTCGACACTCTTACTGTGAGAACTCTTACCGTTCGAGCGAAACATGCTCGCCATCGTGCGATGATGTTGTCATGGGAACCACCCCGAGTCAAGACACAGAGGCGTGGCTGGTGTTGCTGCTACTGCTGCTGCTTCTCGCAATGGGCTGAGTGTAGTGATGCCTCTAAACCATAAGCCCTAAACCCTAGACCCCAAACCCTAAACCCTAAACCCTAGACCCTGAACCCTAAACCTAAACCCTAAACCCTGAGCCCTAAGCCCTTAGCCCTTAACCCTAAACCCTGAACTCTAAACCCTAAACCCAAACCTAGCTTTTTCGAAGCCCAGGTCGCAAAGGCACGCGCCACTTGACGCCGAGCTCTCAAGAGCTTCCACAAACAGGCGTTCCCAACACGTATTATTATTGAGTTTAGGGTTTAGGGTTTAGGGTTTAGGGTTTAGGGTTTAGGGTTTAGGGTTAGGATTTAGGGTTTTGGGGTTTGGGGTTTGGGGTTTAGGGCTTAGGGGAGTTCAGGGTCGCACCAACAATTCGCAGAAACCATAACCTGGCTACTCTATAAGGGAACCCAGAACCAAACAAAAAAGGGTAAAGGGTATCACTGGGCTACCAAGTATGTGGACACTGCTTGCCAAACAGGAGGACTGTAACCCTAAACCCTAAACAGTGAACCCTAAACCCTTAAAGCCTAAACCCCTAAACGACTGTTGGGAAAGCCTGGGCGGTTTTTAGCGATGGGGCAGCGGGTGCAATGAGGCCGGACTCTGTCTAAACGCAACCCCTGCTCAACCCAAGGAGCTTCTAACACACGAAGAACCTATAGAGTTTAGGGTTTAGGGTTTAGGGTTTAGGGTATAATGCGACTTCGGTCAGAATGTACAAGAATTAGGCCGCGCCATGTGCAGGCAGCACGTGGTGCACTGCCCTAAGCCCTAAACCCTGAACCCTAACAGCGAATCTTTATGAGCATAGGAATTGTACCTATAACCCCATATAGGGCACTTACAACCCTAAACCCTAAACCCTCAACCCTAAACCCTAAACCCTAAGCGCTAATTCTAACTGCCCTTGAACCTCCAAGTATGGGCTCTTGAATGGGGTCCGAGGTCTAAGCGCAGCCCGGAGCCAGGCTTTCAAAGCCGTAGAGTTTAGGGTTTAGGGTTTAGGGTTTAGGGTTTAGGGTCTAGGGTCTAGGGTCTAGGGTTTAGGTTTTGGGGTGTAGGGTGTAGTGCATAGCTTCCCTTCTTAAAGAAGGGAAAATGAAGTTAAGGCCTTCCACCTGAACTGCCGCACCACCTACCTAAAAAGAAGGCACACCCTACACCCTAAACCCTGAACCCTGAACCCTAAACCCTAAACCCTAAACCCTGAACCCTAAACCCTAAACCCTGAACCCTGAACCCTGAACCCTAAGAGCAGAGTGTGACAGGGTCCGGCTATTCACCCGGAAGATGCCGCCTGTGGCGGCGGAGTCCACGCTACCTCTCAGCAGCACCTTCCCTGTAGGAGGTCAGCACTTTTAGGGTTTAGGGTTTAGGGTTGAGGGTTTCTATCCTGTGCAACGCGAACCTGTGCCGTTTATCACCCAAAACTCCCATGTCGCAACACCTCTAAAAAGGCAAGGGATCGTGAAAGGCAGGGTATCTCTCACCATGGTTGTCGCAGGTTTTGCAGAGGCACAGGAGTCTTCCCTTTGTCTTGGCGTTTCAGGGCTTATACCCACACCCTACAGTCTACACCGTCAACCCTAACTCTGGAGGGAGGCTTTGCGTAGGGAGCCTCTTCCACACCAGATCCTTGTGGCCGTTGCCACACGTTCTGAATCCACCGAACCCTCGTCCTTCCGAACCATCAGCCCTGTCTCAAAAGTTGGAACATCCAAACATCCTTATCTACATACCCCCCAAAGGGCAATCATACTGACATGTGAGTCCCAGCTTTAATCATCCTTAATTAAGCCATAATCCAACTTTCTGGGGTTTACCGCATAAGCCCGGCTCAGCGATGTAGGGTTTAGGGTTTAGGGTTTAGGGTTTAGGGTTTAGGGTTTAGGGTTTAGGGTTTAGGGTTTAGGGTTTAGGGTTTAGGGCTTGGGTTTAGGATGGGACATGCAGAACTTGCGACATCCCATGGTGCGCAGCAACGCTGCAGGCTATGGAAAAAAACAACAAAAGCTTGGGCAGCAGCACCCCCGAGCCGAAGATCTGGGCTCTTCATATCGGATGCTTTATGGGGTTTGGCATGGGTTTCTTATATGGACTGCAATTAGCACATGGCTTCGTTGATCTCAAACCTAGAAACTTAGAATTCGCTCATCAATCTTCTCGACGCTTGCTCCGGGTCTGCCGCTGCCTAAGTTGACGAGTTTGCGCAGCCAGTGCTGTCCAAAGCCAGCCAGATCCTCCTCGTCCTACGCGTGGAAGAGCTTTGAAGGTCTCTGGACTAGCAATGCTCATAAAACGACTAAACCCTAAACCCTAAACCCTAAACCCTAAACCCCAAATATCATGAAGGCCAAGGGTCTCATGTAGCGCTTGGGCTTCGGGGAAGAGTAGGGTTTGGTATTTTGCCTCAGCCTTCAACCCGGGCTTATCAAGGGACTAGGGGGGACCCTTATAAGGGACCTGAGGGGTCATGTAGGGGCCACTTAGGTATATAGGGACGATATAAGGTATACACAGGGGTTATTTAGGGGAATAAGATCAAGGGTCCCTGCTAGAGGTTCCTCCTTATATCCCTTAAGCTTAGCAGGTCTAGTGCATCTGCCCCACCTCCCCGTAAGACCCCTGTCAAGCCCCAAAGAAACCGGAAGACCCAAAGCTTTGACACCCTAAGCCCTAACCCCCAAACCCTGAATCTCCCAAGCCCTAACATCTAGTTCATGGTTGGGATAGCACTAAATTGCAAATTTCTGTTCCGTTGAGTTTAATTACCCTAAAAAATTGTAAACTGTGCCCCCCCCCCCCCCCCCCCATGACAAAGAAACGCTCTAAGCTCACAAACTCTTCAACCCCCAAAACCAGCTTCCCCCCCTCCCCCCCGCCAACAAAAAGAAAGCCTCAACCCTCTGCGCCCAAGGCTCTGTACCCTAAGAACCTCAAAGCCCGAAACACCTCAACCCCTACTCAACCCGAAACCCGTAAACCGATTGACCCTACACGCCTAAACGCCTAAACCCCTATACCCTTAACCCTAAAACCCCTAAAACCCCTAACTAAAACCCTAAACCCGAACCCCGAACCCCCAAACCCTAACCGCCAAACCCCAAATTAACCCTAAACCCCGAAACCCTTCAACCCGAAAAGTCGCACTTGGCGTTGCCTCTAAACCCTAAAACCGAAAAACCGCAACCCTAAAACCCTAAACCCTGAACCCTAAAACCCGAAAACCCTATAACCCTATAACCCTGAACCCCCTAAACCCCCTAAACCCCCTAAACCCCCTAAACCCCCTGAACCCCCTGAACCCCCTAAACCCCCTAAACCCCCTAAACCCCCTAAACCCCCCCTAAACCCGTTGGCGGCGGCCTCAGAGTCTGGCTTCCACGCTGGGCAAAAACGCCCGGAGGAGCTCGTAGCCGCGCAGGCTGCCTCAGGAGGCTTCTAGGGGGCCTTAGGAAGGTTTGGGGTTTAGGGTTTAGGGTTTAGGGTTTAGGGTTTAGGGTTTAGGGTTTAGGGTTTAGGGTTTAGGGTTTAGGGTTTAGGGTTTAGGGCATAGGGTTACAACTTGGGGACTTGGGGTCGAGGTTGAGGGGGGGGGGTTTAGAGGTTTAAGCTTAAAGTGGGTGGGGCGTTAGGGGCTTACGGTCTAAAGCTTAGGGCCGTTCAGGGTTGTGGGGTTGGGGATTGCTAGACGCCATCCATAGAGGGTGCTTAAGGGAGGTGCGTTCAAGGGGGTATGCAACCCAAGGTTCCCGGATATTCCCCCGTTACTCCCTAAGGCTAAGGCTCCCTAAGCTTCCCTAAGGTTTCCTAGGCACCTAACCCCCCAGGAACCCCCTAAACCCATAGCTCTAAGCCCTGAAGGCCCTAAACCCTTCACCCTAAACCCTAACCCTAAACCTTAAACCCCAATCCTCCCTGAACCCTGAACCCTAAACTCTGAACCCCTAATTCAAACACTCAACCCCGAACCCTAAACCCTAAACCCTAAACCTCTATAGAATCCCCTCCCCTCCAAATCCAGGAGGCCAGCACTCTCCGGATGGAACTGGACGCCGTAGATGGGCAGGGAACTGTGCCTCAGAGTGAGCGTAGGGCTCCCAACTCCCAAGTCCCACAAGAAACACAAAACCCCCCGAAAGCCAAGAAAAAACAAACGAAGCCTCGGAAGCCAAACCGGCCAACCCCCCCCAGAAAAAAAAAAAAAAAAAACTGAGGCCCTAAGTAGCAACAAACCCCTCAATCCCTCAAGCCCTCAACCCCAAAAGTCCAAAACCAGATTGTCGGCAGGCCCTGGAGAGCCGAAAGCCCGAACGCCCCTAAGTTGAATCCATGATCGGTTTCGGTTCCAGGGCTCATGCGGTTTCAGACCAACTCTCATGCAAGCCTAAACCCTAAACCCTAAACCTAAAAGCCCTCAACAAAAAATGGCCCAGCGGCTGCACAGCCATGA